GCGCGAGCTGCACTGGCTCCCAGTTGTCTTCCGGGTGCGCTTCAAGGTGTTGGTTATCACCTTTAAAGCGCTCCATGGCATAGGGCCTAGCTATCTGCGAGACCGCCTGCTGCTACCGACGACCTCCCAGCGACCCGTGCGCTCCCACAGAGAGGGCCTCCTCGGGGTGCCATCAGCCAAACAATGCAGGCTGGTGACCCCCCAGGGGGAGGGCCTTCTCTGTGGGGGCACCCACCCTCTGGAATCAGCTCCCCCCAGAGATAAGGAGAATCCAAGACCTCAGTGCCTTCCGTCGCGCCCTTAAAACCCATTTATTTAAACAAGCCGGGCTGGCTTAAGATGAAATTTTTAACTGTTTTTAAATGTTTTAAACGTTTTTAATTGGTAAATGAGTTTTAATTGGGCCAAATTTATATATCTTTTAATTGTTTTTAATATTTGTTCTGCATGTTTTTTTTAATCTGGCTGTACACCGCCCTGAGTCCTTAGGGAGAAGGGCGGTATAGAAATCCAATATAAATTAAATAAATTAAATTAAATTTCCCAGAATTAGCTTAAGTGACAGTCACTTTGTACACACATGTTTACAATCAGGAGCAGATGGTGCAGCTATTGGATCAGTTTCAACACCACTCCAGTGCATGCAGCCAAGCCAGGGATTGGAAGAAGATACAATGACAGATAAATACCCATATTCTGTTGTTGATCTTCTGAGATATGTGTTAGTTTTGCTCTCAGGAAACAGGTAGTTGGGTCCTGTGCCAGCTGTCAGTATTTTTAGCTGGCTTCCTAGGTTTTTTTTTTTTTTTTAAGGAAAAGACTCAAGGACTTCATTATTTGGCAGGTGAGGAGAAGAGGACTCTACAGATAATCACCAAGGACATTATTTCTCTTGCCAAATTATTTATATAAAGCAGAAGGAGAAAAGATTTGCATACCCCATACCCCCAAGGTGAGTTTTGATCACAGCAATCCATATTTACCCATTCGTGATATAAAAAATGAGAATTACTGACAGCAAGGAAGTAAATATTCATTTTTAACTTCAAGAAAAAAAATGCATCATAATTGAGCTGGTTTGACACATTTGCTAGCGTGGGGCTGGTGGGGGGGAGTGGGAATGCTGAACAAGTCCTAATATAATGCCTATGCTATGAAAAATACAAACTCAATGGATCAATGTGTGGCAGGGAACAAAAGGCAGCTTGGGGCAGACAGAGTAGGATAAAACACAGTAAGTGTGTTTTAGATAGGCTCCAAAGGCAAATTTTTGTATGGTTTGGGTGCTTAAAAAAAATCCTAGCAAGTAATCCAGATCAGGAAACTGACTCCGCTGGATGACTAGAACTATATTTTATTGAGATAGACTTTAATAACAGAATTTTGTTTATTATTTATATTTAACAGATTTATAGGACTGTCCAGCTCACACAAAGTACCACTTGCACATCTGATTGTGCTTTTCCTCCCCTCTCTCTTTTATTCTTCAGTGGATCAGGGAGGAGCCAGTCTGGGTTTCTTTTTAACACTATCCCCTTTTCAAGGATTTAAATACATATGTTTCAGTTTCTGACATCCTGCTTCAAAGCCACCTCCCAGGCTCGGTATGGATGCCTCAGTAGCTAGCTGCTTCTTTCCCATATGGGTCTTTTGTTATGAAAGCCCAACTTATTACCCTGTTTCCCCCAAAGTAGGACATCCCCTGATAATAAGTCCAATCGGGCCTTTGAGCACATGGCAATACGGCCAAGCGCTTATTTCAGGGTTCAAAAAAATATAAGACAGGGTCTTATTTTCAGGGAAACATGGTATAACTATTGGTTAGAAGTTATTTTAACCAACTAGAGTCGCTGTGAGCGAGTAGGCAGCTATATAAATTTTCTAAATAAATAAGTAAATTTTAAATATCAGCTAAATCAGAAAAATATGTGACTGCATTGTTACATTAAGGCAAACCGAATTCTGTTCAAAGAAAAATCAGATTCTGCAGTTTGTGGAGGACATGGAACACTGAGAAAAGTTTACACAAATTCACTTCTTGCACATTAATCATAAAACTTCAATTGGGAGCCACCCAGAGCTAGTTACAAGATGGGATGGAAGAGGGGTGAAATGTTCCTGGTTCAGATCAGATCGGGCAATCCGGAAGCGATTGTGGCAGGTGGTTTGGAGAACTGGTAGCAATGGCAGCACGAGGCTCCGCCCACCTGCCCAAGTGTCATTACTTCCTGCTTTTAAAAGGTAAAAAAAGGCTCTGATGATCATGCACCACAGTTGTGATCGTCAGAGCCTTTTTTTACCTTTTGAAAGCATTTTTTACAACCTATTTGCCTGAATAGGTTGTAAAAAATGCTTTTAAAAGTAAAAAAAAAGGCTCTGACGATCACAGCTGTGGCGCGTGATTGTCAGAGCCTTTTTTTTTTACTTTTAAAAGTATTTTTATACAAGCTATTTGGGCAAATAGGTTGTAAAAAAATGCTTTAAAAAGGTTAAAAAAAAGTTGGCCATGCCCACCCAGTTATATTACCCCTTCAAGCCATGCCCACAGAACCGGTAGTAACAAATTTTACATTTCACCACTGGATGGAAGATATATAAACATTTTAAATAAATAAATAAACATTTTTGCCCTCTCATGGAAAGGAAGAAAGGTGTACCACACAGACCCCCGGAATCTTACCTCATGAACCTGGTTAACTTTCTGGATTGGTCAATATTCCCTTTCATGTTTCATTTTGAATTATTAGGACAACTGTAGATATTCAGTGGGGTGCTTTGCTTTGCCAAAGGCTTGAGCAAAATAGCCTCTTGAAGTGACTTCATGAAACAACACAGCTCCTTGCTTTACTTTGGCTCTTCTAGCCAGCCATTTGGAACAGCAAGTAGAGACTTGTGAGCTCTAGCAGTGCTGGAGGAGATTGCAAACTAATCTCCATGAAGCACTTTGTCAAAGCAAATTACATCACTTCTTTGTCTCAATGAGGTACATCATTTCATCTTTGTGGCAAATCAGAGCTGTCTTTCATAGACCTAACAGCTCGGTTCCATGACAATTGAAACCATCTACTGCTCAGAATAATAGATACTTGTCTTTTTAAAAAAAATTAAAGAAAGCAGAGTCCCCACAGGGTACAGAGATTTAACACTTGGAATCTAAGTTGAGCGATGTTTTTCTCAGTGGAGCAATGGCATTTTGGCAAGAGCAGGGAAAAAATTCAGAGGTAGGTATCTATAATGAGCTCAAGCTGATCTCCGATTCAGGTTGGATTATCTATTTGAAACAACTTTTGAAGAGCTTTAAAAATTCCACCATCTCCAGCAACAGAATAGAAGGCCTAGGACACTTTGTTGAGACAAACTGTGCTGGTTATTAGGAACATGCATATTCACTTCTGTGAGGTAAATAAATTGTTTAAATAAATAAATCTGAAGTGAAAGACAAATTCACCAAATCACCTCTTTTTGCCATATCACTGGATCAGATTGACATTTTCAGTTGAACTGCGTACTTCTGAGGTGAATCAACAATCTGAATCAATTCTGCTACTCAGTTCATTACTAAAATTGAATATTATAGATGTTTCTAACTGAATTGACACAACCTGTTGAAATGAACCGATTGCTTGGGGGATGTGCATGCATATTTATTAATAGTTTGTTTCTGTGCATAATTTTGACCTTTGAAAATCTTCAATGAGGATCTTTAAAAATGTACTTGGCCCAAGCCTAGGATACATTTGAGATCACTTCTTTCTATACCAGTTTATGCCTACTATATAATTTAAAAGCTCTTCTGCTATGATGGAGACCAATTGATGCAGTTTTTTGTTGATGTGATGACCCGGTGCCTGGAGGCCGTACGGATCTGGATGGGGAGAAACAAACTCAGACTCAACCCCTCCAAGACCGAGTGGCTGTGGTTTCCGGCATCCCGTCATAGTCAGCTAGTCCCATCGCTGACTATTGGGGGTGAGACCTTGACCCCCTCAGAGAGGGTTCGCAACTTGGGTGTCCTCCTGGACTCGCAGCTGGCCTTAGAAGACCATTTGACGGATGTAGCCAGGGGGGCTTTTTATCAGGTTCGCCTGATCTACCAGTTGCGTCCCTTTCTGGACCGGGACTCCTTGTGCACAGTCACTCATGCCCTCATCACCTCCCGTCTGGACTACTGTAACATTCTCTACATGGGGCTTCCCTTGAAGAGCACCCGGAGGCTCCAGCTGGTCCAGAATGCAGCCGCGCGGGTGATTATGGGAGCGACTCGACGATCCCATGTAACACCGCTCCTGCGCGAGCTGCACTGGCTCCCGGTGGTCTTCCGGGTGCGATTCAAGGTGTTGGTTGCCATCTTTAAAGCGCTCCATGGCTTAGGACCCGGGTACTTACAAGACCGCCTTCTGCTACCGATAGCCTCCCATCGACCAATACGCTCCCACAGAGAGGGACTCCTCAGGGTGCCGTCGGTCAAATAACGTCGACTGGTGACCCCCAGGGGGAGCGCCTTCTCTGTGGGGGCACCTGCCCTCTGAAATGAGCTGCCCCAGAGATTCATAGGATCCCTGACCTTCACACCTTTCGCCACACCCTCAAAACGCTATTGTTTCACCAAGCAGGGCTGGCCTAAATGCTATTTTAATGGGTGGTTTCTATTTTAGCTCTTTCGGCCAAATTATTTAATATTTTTAAATTGTCTTTTAACTTTCATATAGTTTTATTTTTGGCTGTACACCGCCCTGAGTCCTTCGGGAGAAGGGCGGTATAAAAATTGAATAAAATAAAATAAATAAAATAAATAAAAGAAGTTAAACTGACAATTCTTAGATGCCCTTTTGCCATTTGGTAAATACCTTGTTTAGAAAAATAAATCCTTACACAATCAAAACGGAAAATACATTTATTCAATGACACTCTTTAATTCCAATTGTTAGTCCTCATGATTCCAAGGAGGATAATCCATTTGTTATAATTAATATGGCAGAAGAAAATGAATGAGTACTTACTGCTCTTATGATGGATGCGAGGATGAGGAGGACAGGATAAGAAGGCAGAAGAAGAAGGCCAGAAGCAGAAGGCAGGCAAGGGGGAGCCTAACATCAATCAATCAGCATAACATCAATACTTGGGAAAATACCAGAAAAGATAATATTTAAAAAAGATCTCTGAACATCTAGAAACAAATGAAGTTATAACTAGAAGCAAGCATGGGTTTGTTAAAAACAGATGATGCCAAACCAATCTTATTTCATTCTTTGATAAAGTGACTAAATTAGTACACCAGTGAAATGCTGTGGACATACTATCCTTAGACTTCAAGGCATTTGACAAAATAAACCACAACCTATTACTTCCTATTTCCTAAACTAGAAAAATATGGGATAGACAGGATCACCACCAGATGGATTTGTAATGGCTGACAAACCGTACTCAATGGTACTACATCTACATGGAAGGAAGGAAACAGTGGAGTACCACAAAGTTCTGTCTTAGGCCCAGCACTCTTCAATATGTTCATAAATTATTTAGATGAGGGAATATAAGGGGAACCCATCAAATTTGCAGATGACAGTAAGCAAGCAGGAATAGCCAAACCCCAGAAAACAAGCTCAGGATCAAAAAAGATCTTGACAGACTTGAACAATAAGCCCTATTCAACAGCATGACATTTAATGTAGAGAAAAGCAAGGTTTTACACCTAGGCAGGAAAACCAAAGATTCCAGTACAGATTAGATGAAACTTCACTCAAAAACAATAACTGAGAGGGAGAGGGTAAGAGGGACCTTGGAGTCCTAGTGGACAATCACTTAAACATGAGCCAGCAGTATGCGGCAGCAGCCAAAAAAGCTCATACAATCCTTGGTTGTTTTAAACAGAGGCATAGAATCAAAATTACGTTAAGTACTGCTTTATAAATCCTTAGTAAGACCATACTTACAGATTACAGATTAACAGAGTTGGAAGGGACCTTATAGGTCATCTAGTCCAACCCCCCCACCCAAACAGGAGACCCTACACCATTTCTGACAGATGGCAGTCCAGTCTTCAGGTGCCTTGGAAAATAGCTTGACTCCTTCCTCTCTCTGGCAGCCCCTCAAATATTGGAACACTGCTATCCCCTGGTCCATCTCTTCACTAGACTAGCCATGCCCAGTTCCTGTAACGGTTCTTCATATGTTTTAGTCTCCAGTCCCCTAATCATCCTGGTTGCTTTTCTCTGCACTTTTTCTAGTTACCCAACATCTTTTTTTATAGTGTGGTGACCGAAACTGGATGCAGTACTCTAGGTGTGGTCTTACTAAGGCTTTATAGGGTGGTGTTAGTACCTCACTTGATCTTGATTGTATCCCTCTGTTAATGCAACTTGGAATACAGCATCAAGTTTTGGTCACTACATTACAAAAAAGACACTTTTGGAAAAGTGCAAGGAAGAGCAACTAAGATGATTAAAGGTCTGGAGACAAAAACATATGAAAAACATTTGCAGGAATTGGTATGGCCAGTCTAGAGAAAAAAAGGACTATGGGTGACATGATTGCAGTATTCCAATATTTGAGGGGCTGCCACAAAGAAGAGGGGATCAACTTATTTTCCAAAGGAGCAGAAGGCAAGACAAGAAACAATAGATAGAAACTAATCAAGGAGAGAAGCAACCTGAAATTAAGGAGAAACTTCCTAACAATGAGGACAATTAAGCAATGGAACAGCTTGCCTTCAGAAGTTTGGGATGCTTCATCACTGGAGGTTTTAAAGAAGAGACTGGAGAGCCATCTGTCTGAAATGGTATAGGGCAGTGATGGGTAAGCTTTTTGTCGTTGCGTGCCAAAAGTGCATAATGCAATGCACGTGTGACCCCACACACCCCCGCACATGCGAACACAACCCCCCCATGCTCCCCCACCAGCCCATGCATGTGCATACAACCCCCCCCCAGTGCCCCATTTTGGGCCTAGCAGGCCTCCCTGCACCTCCTGGGAGCAAAAATGGGCGTGCCGCACCCCCCAAGCTGGATCTTGGTCCCAGGAGGCTGCAGGGAGACCTCCTAGGCCCAAAACACCCTGTGGGGGGGCACCGCACCACCTGCACTCCCTCCGCCCCTGCACATGCATGAGCGCCTCCTCCCCGCCTCCCCGTGCCTGGACGCGTGATCCCCACTCCCTCTCCCAGGCATGCGTGAGTGTCTCCCACATGCGCCCTGCCTCCCGCGCATGTGCGGCAGAGACCCGAAAATTAGCAGGCCAGCGGGAGGCACGTGCACATGCAGGGTGGAGCTGAGCTGGGTGATGGCTCACGTGCCTGCAGAGAGGGCTCTGCATGCCACCTGTGGCACGCGTGCCATAGGATCGCCATCACGGGTATAAGATCTTCTACTTGAGGAAGTGGTTAGACTAAAAGACCTCCAAGGTCCCTTCCATCTCTATTCTGATTGATTGCAAAGGAGAGGGAGAAGGAGAAGGAGAAGGAGAAGGAG